TCTTCTTAGATAGCTTGGGGGAATGGGATGATACTGAGCTGGGCTCGGATGATGAAATTTGGGATCAGCAGTCAAGAATGGTTTTATCTATGATAGGCAATCTCTATGTCTAGAGATTTCCAGTCAAACCAAATGGGGAATGTTAAAATTTTGATTAAAAAAAAGACTAGGAAATTTATTAAACATTGCAGAAAGTCAGAAGTTTTTTTCCTCCTAGAGCTCACTGCTTTAATAGTCTGGCAAAGTTTGCATGTCATGTAAGCTACATATTTTATGTTCTCTTTAAACTGATGCCATTTACTGATATAACAGGGATTGATCATGAGCTGATGAGAGGAGTGGCTTTCTATCCCTTATTCAGATCATTTAGAGCCCAGGATCCATTTGCACTCAATCCTTGTTTGCCTCTTAGTCATTCTCAGCACAGGGCTATACTGAAGTCTCACTTTCTAGAGCTGGGCTGTCCAATGTGGTAGCCATATGCCACTTGTGGGTACTTAAATCTACATTTATTAAAATGAAAAATTCAGTTCCTCAGCAGCACTAGCCACATTTCAAGGGTTCAACAGCCACATATATCTAGTGGCTACTGTATTGGACAGTGTGGATATAGAACATTTCCGTCACTGCAGAAATCTCCATTGGACAGTACTGTTCTAGACTCTTGCTTCAGGGGGCCGCTACACCTGGCCTCCTCAGGAGCTGCATGGAGGTGGCTGTTCTATCTCCAGCATGCCTACTCAACTCAGCCAAAGACTTGACTAGCCTGATTTAGTGCTTTCCTGCAGCAGGGTCCTGAGAGAGCTCTAAGACTTTATGCCAATATGCTTCCCTGTGTTGTGAGATTCCCTCTATTTGTGTTTTGCAAACTGATTTATTTCTACTAGTTGGTTTTATAACTAATCACACCAGTGGTCTTGCTGATTCTATGGTAGCAACAAAACAGAATCTTGTTTTGTATGCTGTGGAAAAGATTCTTAAATCAAGTTGGGAGCTGGAAAAAA